CAGATGGCGGTTGATCCGACAGAAACTCCCACAGGCAGAACATGACATGTGCAGAACAGCCTCCAAGCAAATATGGAGCTGGTGAGAATAGACTCCAGGCAATTGGCAACTTCTTTGAAAGTGCCTCCAGACAATGAGTGACTTGCTCGAAATCGCCTCCAGGCAAAGTGTAACTTGCTCCGCAATCGCCTCCAGGCAAAGTGCGACTTGTGGGAGAATGCCTCCAAGGAGAGATCAACTTGTGACGGATTGTCTCCAGGCAGATTGGAGCATATGCAAATAAATGAAATTGTTTTTTGGGTATTTACAAGATGTGTACAAAACGGTTGGAGGCATCCTTCAAAGGGGAGAGGACATGAATTGCCTGGAGGCGTGGCCGGGTTCCTCCAGGCATGGCCGGGTGCCTCCAGGCGGCGCCGGACTCGCCGGACGGGTTGGTCACAGTATGACAGCCGCCCTCGGTCCTCGGCAGCTCAGCTCAGTCAGCCTCTCGAGTTGAGTTGCAATTGGAAATCCCGATTTTCGGATTCGATGCGCGCTTGAGGCCCCTAACCCGGGAATCGGGCCCTTACGTGACTAGTAACTTACTGTTCCTCCTTAACGCCACTGTGGCGCCTTTCTCCGAGGAAATTACGCATATTCCCCTCACAACTGTCTTTCTCAGTACCTGGTAGACTTTCAGTACCTGATACTTCGTTCAACTATACCCTTTCAAATGTAACCTGCTGCGGCACCACTCTGAGTATGCGAAGGATCGTGGTAGGCGTATCGAGGAGTCATGAATACAGTTTTTGTTCATTATATATTGAACTTCTCCGTCGTCGTCGTCGTCGTGGCAGGTAGGCATTAGATACACGATCGAAACAGTGAGACTTCTACAAGCGTGAGGGTGGGATGGAAGCAAACAGGAATAAAGAGAATGGATGGGGGTGGGAGGGGGTGGGGGTGGGGGGAGGGAGAGGGGGAGGGGGGCTATCGATGGTTGAACACGAGCACCAGCACCAGCAAACAACAAGCACACAAACAACGTCTCCAAGTCCAAGCAAGAAAGACAAGTCGTACATCCTCTCCAATAGTAACCAAAAATAACGCACACAGACACAAACACGCACGCACACACACAAACGCACAAACGCACTCACGCCCACTTCCCCAACAACGCCATCAACCCACACCCCAGCAACATACACCCCACCGCATACCCCAACTTCATATTACTCGCCTCCCTCATCTCTCTACTAAACAAAAACTCATGCGCCAACAACTCCACCAATCCCGTATAAATCAATATCCCTGCACTTAATGCGTCCAGGACACCGGAAACGATGCTCGCGCGCGCAGAGTCGGGGTTGTATGTCGTGCGGACGCCGAGGCCGACGGCGATGCCGAGGGGAGTTGTGAGGCCGTAGAGGAGGGCGGCGAGGAGGGGGATGTGGGTGTATTTTTTGGGGAGGGTTAGGTAGGCTAGGCGGGAACCAATACCGAGGCCTTCGAAGAGCTCTGTTTGTTGGTGTTGGGAGGTCGGGGAGGTCGGCGAGCGTGAGTGTGAGTAAGAGGGTGAGTGTGAGTGTGAGTGGAATAATGATAATGTGTACGTACGGTGGAAGATGATGACGATGAAGAGAACCTTGAAGTCCTCGTTCACGGCTAATGTGAGGCCAATCAGGACACTGAAGGGAAGAAAGAGGCACGGTCATTCGTCAGTGAATCACGAAAAAACACTCATAACAACGCCCAACACCGAGCCCACCGAAACCAATAGAAACCCGCAAAACGCAGTACACAAACACGAAAAAACTACACACCTATGCAGAAGCACACCAAACTCCAAAATCGCAACCCCAATGATCTGCGCCGCGACCGCGTTCTCGTGCGAATGCCCGTGCTCGTCCGTCGCGTAATGATGCCCATGCCCATGTTTCATTTTATTCGCACTGGCACTCTCGAGATCGATATCAGTCTCGGTTCCGGTCCCTTTATCTTCTTCTTGGATCGTCGCCTCGCCACCAGCCCCGGGACCTGACTCTGCTTCTCCTGCGCGTTGGCTCTCTGGGCCGTGAGCTGCTAGCGCGCCGATTCCGTGTCCGTGGGCATCTATGGTCATAGGAAGGAGGGAGCAGCACGAATCAAACGAGTTGTGTCAGTTGACCGGGGAGACTTCGGATGGGGTTGGATTGGATTACAAGGTTTTACATACCGTGGTGGATGCCGAGTTTCTGAAGCTTGGCCGTCCCGATACGGAAGGCCATGAGTTCGACGATGAAGATGGAGAAGATGGAGAGGAGGGCGAGGGCGAGGGCGTAGGGCTTTGTTTTCGTTACGAAAGGAAAGGAAGGAAGGAAGGATCGATAGATGGAGATTAGGTTAGTGGGCTCTCTCTGTTTGTTCGGATGGAGGGAGAGACAACTTACATATTCTTGCCATGCGGGTGAGAGACAGGGTGCGTCGCCTCCTAGTTCGTCGAGCGCGGGGCTTAGTAGATGGATGAAGGCCGTGCCGATCTGTATCATCACCATCCAATGATCCAATCCATCTCAGTTCCCATTCTTGTTTGTCCTCTCCGTCGAATATAAACCGAGGGAAGATGAAGAAAAATAAACGCACGATGACTCCTGATCCAAAATATTTTGCAAAGCTGCGAAAGACAAGCGAGGGGTTCAGTACTACTTCATTCCACGGAAAAATACACAGGAGATAAATAAATTAAAATGAGAACGCACTCGAAGAGCCACTTCGGGACATTGACCAGCGTTGACTGTCTTGCGAGCACGGGGAACACCGCTCCAAACGAGCTCCCAGCCCAGATGATGAACACAGACGCTATCCGGAGACCCAAAAAGGCGTCTGAGCCACCACCAGAGCCACAGTTCACTTCGTCTGAATCGGACATGGCCTCTCTCGCTTCTCTAAAAAAAAATCGGGTAGGGAGGGGAGGGAAGAGGGGGGGTGGCGCGAGGACTTGAAAGGATGGTCCGGAAGGAGATGGAGGGGGGCAGAAAGAGGAGTATTTCTGCGATGAGGACGACTGGGAGGGTAGATGGGAGCTGAGGAGGGCAGACTCTGAATAGCGGGCTGCTGGAAACTGAGCCAAGCCAGTCGAGCGGATGACTGCGCGGGTCCTCTGAGGTCCTTTTTATTGAACCTGATCCATTCATCATCGAGATCTCTCTTCATCCACTCGCCGCCATCGTCGTTTGTTCGCCTCCGATGTCAACGCCTGTCGGCGTAGCTCGAGCCAGGGCAAGCATGTTCAACGTCGAGGTTAATCGTATACCGGTATGCATTTCGGACAACAGGCATAGCCACGCAAATCCGTCCACTCGAAAATATCTGCGGCGTTCCGGTGACCGGGGAGGACCGCATCAGTCCTCGAAAATCGCCTTGGTCATCGCCGCCTTCTCATTGGTGGAAGGTGCCGCTCGTTCGTCCGCACGGTCAACTTTTTAAGTTGTTGAAACGACTGTGGCGACCGACCTGTCCGACTCGAGTGGCAAGTCCCTCCCCACTGGTGCAGCACGGGCGTTCGAGTCTGTGGAGGTACTCTGCCCTGGACGAGCTATTCTTGTTGGACAGATCGTACCTTTCGAACGGACATAAACGGATTATTTGTGCTCGGAGAGGTATGTACGACCTGCGGACCGCGCTGACACGATACATAGACTAAGTAGGACTTCAATCTCGTTATGAACGCGGGATGTCTCCTTCGCGAAGTTATGTACAGGAATTCGACTTCGACGAAACCATCATCGCACCCAGTTCGTTTCTGGCTTGGTCTTGTCCTCACACGCACACACTGACCGGCAGTGCCGACCACCACTGGCAGAGTACTCGTCACTGGTAGGGACTCGATATCGAGGGGAGGCTCTTGAGCCGTCACGGAGTGCACAAAGTTTTTTTTTCATCATACGGATATACGCTCGACGTGGTGCCTAGCCTGCATTGTGATCGCAAGACTGCCCAGTGTCAGATTTGGTGGCTACAGCGGCTTCGAGTCTGTGAAGGTACTCTCCTGCCAGTGCCAATGGTGAGTTATTCTCGTCTAACTAAGACTGTGACTGGTTGCGGGTACTTAATCTACAGGCACCCACCTCACTTATTGCGTGCTTTTTCTAGCTAGATAGGCCCGTAAACTCTCACTGTCGAACCGCCGTCGTTACAAATAGCTCTCTTCGCGGACTCAACATCACTGATCAACCCGCAGGAGAAGTAAAGCAGGTATACTTACCACGTTCACTCTGGTATCGACTGGTCTATATCAACAGGACGGGATCTAACATCAGTCAGAACTGCGGCCAGTCAGTCCGTAGAACACGGTCTTGACCAATGACTGGTCACTGCATCGGAAGGGTCGTCCGCTCACTGCTGCCTTTTCCCTACTCAGAAATGTCGCTGCGGATATTCTGACGATCGCCCACCTGTTTCATTTGAGCTACTTCGACCGCATCGCGACTCGCACTTTACTTGGGATAACAAGATCTATCACTGGCCTCACCAGGGCCCTCCATGCCTCAGGCCTCATGTTATGCTTCGAACCCAACGTCGTTGGCATCAGAGACACTAAGATAACTGGTGGTGTGGCACCCTCGTCCAAGGTCGAGGTCAAGTTCAATCGAAATTGACTGTCAAGGAATAGTTCTTCATTGACGAAACTGCGGCAACTTCTTTCCTTCTAGCTCAAGGACGACGACATTGGAGTACATACCAATCGAAGATTCACCGGAGGCCCGGGGGCCAACATCCTGCCATTCAACCCGGATGTCATCTTCGTTTTCTCGACATTTATGCATGCGCTCGGTTCCCTGACGGATAAATTAGACGAACATTCCAGCTGTTCAGATCGTTATTTGAATGCCAAGCTGTACGTCTCCATTCCTCGCGACGTCTATCATACTTACTCGACCGGAACCGACTATCTGTTCTCCGAGTGTACTACGAATCGGGATACTGTCAACATTCAACGCTCCACTCTTTCTTCGGCTTCCATGTGATCTGTCGACGTCTATGTCAACCCCGACCATTCAGAGTTTCTTTGCCGTTCTGCTGGCTGAAGTTCCTCATCCCATGGACGTAGAAGATGTCAAGGATTAACGTCCCTCCACACTCGTACTGGCAATTCAAGATACCAGGTCCATGCGAAGACCTACTTCTACATCGAAGTGCTCCTCGGTCTAGCATAAAAACATTTCCTCACTCGAATGTTTCCGACGGTCAATGGCGCTACCTTTCTAAGTATCTGCCCTCAACGAGGTTGGTGGGCCGGCAGATTGTTGGGATGGGTGGGAACTTGAAGACAGGGTGATCGGTGTATGGTTCAATGGAGCCTGGTTAGAGAAGCTTGTTGTGCGGGCGTACCTGATGTGCCTACGAAAAAAACCTACTACTTATGGTGGTGAACTTGGGCAGGGCTGTTGAAATTTATTCTGATTCTTGACTACTACTCGTGCTGCCTACTACACGTACAATATCAATTGGTATATTATTATGTGATCACTTTTCTATGGCTACCCCTCTGTGAGCTTGAATGCGTGGACAAAGCAGCCTCGCCACACAGAAAATTGCGTGGCGTTAAGCAAGAACGACGACGGGCGCCTAAATCTCTGACGGTTCACCGCTTCCTGTCCGCCTTGCTCCCGCATTCTAATCTTCTGAGCCCTCTCGGCCTCATCGTTTTCGCTGTTCGAAAGCCTGTTCATTATATTAACAGGCAGAGATGCCTCCACGACAACGACAACTAGGCAAAGGTCTCTCTCTCCCCGAGAATCCGAAATGGATAGAATTTGGTCTCTCAGACGGGAGTCCCACGGAATGGCCCACGAACACGAAACCTGCCAATAACGAGGGCTGGTATCGACCTTTAACGATAGATGAGGGTTCCTCAATCAGGTGGAGGGCTCAAGTCGCACAACATGTTTCGGAGGAGTTGGCCATGCCAGGTATGTTCTTCTGGAGGTTCGACTCTGTCTCGTTAACGGGATTTGACGCTTGTTCGTCATGTCGCGGTGGATTTGTCCTGCGTTATCGTACTCAGCGAGCAAGGACTACGTCTTGAAAAGTTGGCCAGACGGATACCAGCTCTATGAGCACAATCAGCCAGGTCCCAACGGCGTCCGACATGATCTATATCTATACGGTGCGTTTCGTTCTCCGTACATCCAAACTGCGGCTCGCAACCTAATCTCCCAACACAAGGCTCTACATTCGTCAAAAAATTCAGGTCTACCAAGGAATTCATGCCCCACGCCGTCTGGCTCCAGCAAGACGAAACGCTCAACCACTCCAACTGTCACTGCAAATACGCCAGCGGAAACCCTCGAAAAGCCCCTCGCGCATCCACCGCCACCGCCTCCGCCCCTGTCCCCTCAGGCTCGCGCTCCCGCCACGCACGCGAACCGGCCCTCCAACAATCGCAACGATTCAAAGTCCCCCGCGATCCAGGCAAACCGTACGCCTTTGTCCGGCGAACCCCTAAGCCTGCGAAGCGCTCCGCGCCACCGGACCATGTCATGTCGCAGGACCGGTATACGGACATACAGTCGATGAATTCGGAGTTGCAGATGCCGTTGAAGAGGTGGTTCAGAGAAGGCGAACTCGTGTGGTGTGAGATTGTTCCGCCGATTGAGGCGCAGGGAGAGGCTATGATATTTTGGCCGGGTCTGGTGCAGGAGGCGAAGATTGCTTCGCACCCTACCTTGCTACCCGCGCGAAACGGAAAGGGAAACGCAGACCGGGAGACGGGAGATGGGACGAATGGTAATAGTGGTGGTAGTAGTGCCGGTCCGAGCGGTTCTACATCGACGTCAACGCACGAAGACGAGCCCACTATTGTGTCCGTGTATCAAACGACAGACTACAAAGTCAAACTCTTAGGTGTTCTTCAAGAATTCACATGTCCCGACAAATCCGTCATTCCTTATCTTGGCTACGTCCCCTCCATCGACCTCCTCAAGGCCATGCAAAACGTTCCAATCGCTCACTTAACCCTCGACGCCGAAGAAGTAGCAGGCTTCAACCCCTGGGAGCCTTTACCGCAACCGGTAACCGAAGAAGCTAAACAAGCCCGATTCGAACAGGCCGTCGCGCCCTATTCGTTCGCCGTCGAGATCGCGAAGAATATAGCGGGCAGTTGGACGCCTACTGACGAGTGGACGTTCAAGCAAGCCGTTCCCACTGACCTGTTGTTACCACCTCAGCCGCCACCGCCACCACCTCCAGGAGCCACTCTCGCTGAAGTCCTTGCCTCGCATGCTAGGGCTCCCGCGTCTGGCTCTGGGCTGGCCCGCGTCACCCTCTCGGACGGGACCAGAGTACTTCCTGGGACGGAGATCGTCAATACGCAAATCCGCTACCAGGGGCTTTGGTGGGGAGCCGAACGGATATGGACGGACGACCTCGTCCGTCTGAAAGCGTCGAGGCGACAGATTGCCCCTGAGGGCTCCGTCAATATTTACCCGCCTTCCGGACCTTCGGCAGACACGATTGCGGCGTTGGGAGCTATGGAGAACGCGCCCAACCTTCGCGACCTGGGTGCGATTGACAGAGGTGTGTTTATGTTGCTGAATGGGTTGTTCGTAGCAGACGTAAAGAGAGAGAGTGGAGAGATAAAGAAGGAGTGTAGAGCAAGTGGGATGCTCTATGAATTGGCGGATGAGGGATGGGAGGATGAGGCAGCGAAGAATGGGGAAGCATCCGCTGTGAATGGGAGCCAGCAGGGGCATGGCAGCGATGTCCAGCATGATATGCCACCGCGTATGGAAGTTGATTCGGATGATGAACCACGAACGCCAGTAGAGCTCGACGCTGGTCCGCTCTTCATGTCCGAACCCTCACGGTCCAACCCTCCTTCACCAAGAAAACCTTCATACCACTCTTCTTCCGGGCCACAACAGGCCTCTTCCTCGTCCGTTGCAGCCGACGTCGACGCCAACGCTGAATCATCCAAATCCCTACCCTTGTCATATCTCTCTCCAGAAGCTACCCAACTCTCACAACCTCCACAATCCACCACCTCGTCCAACCCCACTCAACCACCCCTTCCTCCGCCGCCACACGGTTATAAATTCCGTCCCATCCTCCATCCAGGACACGAAGTCGTCATCTCGCTCACGCTCATCAGCGGCCGATATTACCCCTCACTCTTCTCCCACCCATGTTTCAGGCCCGTCATCGTCCGCATGCAGCAGATCGCGCACGGGATGGTTGCGCCGGAGCTGCAGCATCTCTTGAGTCTGGAGGGACTGTGTCCTGGGTTTTATAATGCTGTGGATCCGGTAAAGTGGGTGCCTGGGAGGACCATAATGTGTAAGGATGCGGAGAGGGATAAGAGACGGTTGTTGTGGGAGCATTGGGAGAGGAGGGCCGTGGAGGAGGCAGGCGGGGGGAAAGCGCGGCAGAGTGAGGCTCCGAGTGTGGAGCTGTAAAATGCTGCTGCTGTGACTTGAGCTCGGTGGGCGGTAGTGATATTGTAACTTGTTGTCAAGTCTACCATGTATATACACCTCTTCTTGTTGCGATCTCTTGATCACTATAAGTTCTGGGCTGGCAGGTCCCTAGCATTGTCTCGAAGTTACGCCACACATCGTGCACCTAACCCTAAATCAAGTCTCGGTCTGCTCGCTCGAGATCTTTTGCTTCTCCTTTCTTGAGACTCTTCCCGCAAGTCATGGCCATGTTTCCGCACTCAAAACTCTTTCTCGGGTCAGAAAAGGCTGTGGTGATATCAGGACCACATATCCAAGTACTCAGTTCCAAGTACATAACCTCCTGTTGGACTTCCACTAGCGCGTTTAGATTGACTAATCTTCAGAACAGGAGAAACTTTATGCTCAACCACTACTCTTGAGGATAATGCTAAGGAGGCTCTACTCAAGGCTGGGCCTATTCGTTGCGCCGCTGTTGACGAAGGGTTCGTTCGCGTTGTTACATCGGGGGATGACAAGAAGATGAAGGTTTGGCAAATCGAGGGATTGAAGCTGTTGAGCGAGAGGTACGTACACGAAATCTCTTTTCAGGTCTGCTTTTTCTGATTGATCTGGCCGACATGCTATAGAGAGCTCCCCAAAAAGCCAACACATATTGCGTTCACGCGCAATGGTCAAACCATCCTCGTCTCAGATAAATTTGGAGATGTAGTCAGGTCAGTCTCCTCGCCCGTGCACTACTACACCTGTAATATTAACAACACTCGCCAGTTACCCACTCACCCCTGATCCCACATCCAAATCCGACTCCGCTTTGGCTACGGAACGCGATACTGCGTCTCACGAAAATTCCTCCGGCGGAACTCTCGTCCTGGGCCACACTTCCCTGCTCACTTCATTCCTCCTCTCCGTCGATGAAAAGTACATCCTCACAGCGGACAGGGACGAGCATATACGCGTCAGCTGGTATCCTCAGGGTTACTGCATCGAATCTTACTGCCTGGGCCACAAAAAGTACGTGTCCTTGTTCATGACCGGCCGTCCGATTTGCTTACGCCTCAAACCTTCCGTTCAGATTCGTCTCTGCCATCCATATACCGAAGTCTTCGCCTAATGTTTTAATATCAGGTGGTGGAGATCCCGTTCTTAAAGTATGGGATTGGATGACGGGCCGACTGTTCTTCAATATTCCCGTCGGCGAAGTCGTCGAACCGTACATCAAAGTGCGAGCCAAGAAGCGCAAATGGGGAGACGACGAGGACGGCGAGGGTGGAGGAGAGCAGCAGTGCAGGGGGAAGAAAGTGCATGGAAGGAAAGGAAGGAAAAAGAACCAAAAGAATATAACAGAAGCGACAGAGCAAAGCGTAGCCGAGGAGAAGGAGGAGACGCCAGATGTAGGCGAAATTCCTGGAGAATTAGGTGAAGAGACAGAAGTTTTGGAGTCTAAGGAACAGGGTGAAGGAGCAGGAGAAGTGATTGACCCCGTGCTGGTCATTAATAGGATCGAAACGCTACGGACTGGAGAGACAAAAACGATTGTGTTTAGTGCCGTTGGGTCAGTTAGTGGTTCCATATCTCTTCTCTGCGCGCCACTCATGTTACGTCTGGATTGATTTTTAGTGCCACGGCCCTGTTCTGGTGTTCGTTCCCTGATGTGGCCAGTTCACCCCCTTCAAGTGTAGCACCACAAATCTTCGCCCACAATTTTGGAAAGCCCGTCGTCGACTTCGCGCTCGATTCGCTATCGGCAGATCGCATATGGGTCCTACTTGATGCTCATTGGCAGCCCCATTCAACTATTTCTGCACCTACAGAGCCTCCCAGCTCCTCTGATGCTGTGAAACTCGTTCAACTCAGTTCAAGTTCGGTGTGTAGCCTTGGTTATAGTCGAATCCGAGCGCTGAAAAGAGCTAAATATCGGATTTAACTCGTTCTATAGATCACTGAGCTCGACGCTGCCTCGTCCCCTCTTCTCCCCTCGCTCAATACATCCTGCATCCTCCCATGTATGTCAATTCCTTCAAACTTGCTAGTCCTATATGCATTAATATCTTTCCTCCAGCTACCCCGGAAGACCTGGCAACGTTAGATCTGTACGCCCTCCTATCGAGCATGCCCAAAAACGTCGAGGTCCAGCACAATCCAATGAACCGCGATGGCAGCTCGAGCGCTGGCGGTGGCCAGACTGGAGGCAAGAAGCTGAACGCCAAGCAGATGGCAAAAGCCATGACAAGAAAGGCTATATTGCAAAAGACGCACGGACATCCTCATGGGAAAGGCGGCGAGCTGGAGGGTAGCGAGGTTGGGGATTTGGAGGGGAGAGAGAGCAAGAAGCCGAAGAGTGATGCGGGTGGGGTGGATGCGGATGGTGCGGAGGATGTGACTATGGACGAGCCATAGCCAGAGCTTGAGGCAGAGTATGAATATGGAATAGTGAAGGCCTTGTGAAGTATGTTCGACTAATGGGGCTGTGTGTGTATGTGTGTGTGTAGCCTACTGGTGGCATCTATCGATGATTCTCGTGGAGATGCATGCCTTCGAGAAGTGTAGTTGTAGTATAAGTATCTATAGCTATCACTCTATTGCACCTTCCTCCATTCTATGACTGCTCCATCCTGCGAGTCGGGAGGGATGATGATCGATCGTGGGATATTCAGAAAGTAGCGGTTATGACGGAACAGTACACTGTATAGCAGTATTGAAAGCGAAACGGTTTAGAGCCAGGAGAATGCATGAGATGGTGTTACAACAGTAATGAAACCCAAAAATGAGAAGATACGGCAAGGAACAAGAATTTAGGCGTATAGGTATACGGAGGTAAATGGGCCTCCCGAACGAAAACAGAGCATACCAGACATATGATATAATATAACCCGATCTAGACCACAATGAAAACCAAGAAGGACACAAAACTACCCACTAAAACGATGATAATACTCCAAAGAGAATGAACCTGAAGGAAAGAAAAAGAAAAGATCGATGCATAGCTGCACATGCACGACCTTTAGAGTTTGTCGACGGCCACCTCCCAGCTCCTCGAACGTTCAACCGCACGCTGCCACCCAACCCACATCGCGTCTCTCTCCTTGTCCGATTTACGCGGAAGGAAATGCGTGCTTCCTGCCGTGTTCACCTCGTCGAGCGTCTCGGGCTTAGTGGCGTCCCAACCGAAGAGTCCGATCGCTGAGCCTGCCATGATCGCAGACCCAAGTGCGGTCGACCTGTCGAAACGAAAACGGAGTTATAAGCAATAAACGCTTGCTTCACGGCCTAAAAGAAGGAACTACGAGGACACTTACTCCCTCATCTCCGGTCTGATGACATCGAAACCACCGATATCCGCCAAAATCTCCATACAAATATCGCCGTTCGTCATCCCGCCATCGACCATCAGATGCTTCAGGTCCGACTTCGAGTCCAGCTTCATGCTATCGATGACGGCTCTCGTCTGGAACGCATTAGCCTCGATGGTAGCGCGTGCGATGTGTGCTGGGGTGGTGTAGGAGGTCAGACCGATGAGCAGTCCGGTGGCGGAGGAGTCCCAGTAGGGGGCAAGGAGACCGGAGAAGGCCGTGACGAAGTAGACGCCGGAAGTGGAGGGGACGGAGGCGGCGAGGGTGTTGATGTGACTTGCAGAGCTGATGAGGCCTATTGAGTCTCGAAGCCTAAGGGAAGTTGAGTATGAGTATGGATGCATATGACCTAGGTTGGAAGGAGGTTCTGACCATTTGATGGCACTACCAGCTACGGCGACTATGAGAGCACACGAATGTCAACTGAAAGTCCAAATCGGAGGACACGTGGAATACTCACTGGCACCTTCGAGAGCGTAGACAGGTTTCGAACCAGAACCAACCTGGTAGGCAATCTGACAAGAGGGCAGGGTCAGTTGACAGGGTTACACAAACTGAGGAAATCCCATGTACCGTGCTCAGCATGCCGTGCCCACTATAGACTATATCGTCACCTGTGCAGAACAGCAGGAAGGCGCCCGTTCCATACGTGCACTTGGCTTCACCTTGTCTGAGGCACTTATTACCAATGAGGGCGCCCTGCTGGTCGCCGACAAGGCCACCAATCTTGACTCCCTTGAGGATGCCAGAAGAGATGTTCCCGTAGACTTCCGATGTAGATACGAGCTTCGGAAGGATAGACTCCTTCAGGCCGAAGAAATTTAGGAGCAGAGGTTCCCACTGAAGCGTGCGGACGTTGAGGAGTAATGTACGTGATGCATTAGAGACTTCGGAGATGTGAAGACCACCGTTGACCCCTCCTGTGAGATTCTACAGTGCTCGATTAGCCCATCATACGGCATCCAGTACCAAGAAAAGAGCACACACATATGCAATCCAGGACTCCACCGTACCAAAAAGGAGGTCGTCCTCGTCATGCGCCTGACGAACCTCATCGTGGTGATCAATCATCCATCTTAGCTTGATAGCAGAGAAATAGGTCGACAGTGGCAGGCCCGTTCTAGTATGGGGATGTGGTTTTATTAGCACCTGACGGTCAATTGAAAGAGGATGTAGAGCTTGTGACATACAGTTCTCTCAGCGCCTGAATTCCGGATTCCCCAGAGCGGAACACCCCGGGTTTGACCTCCAGACCCTCGGTCTGGAGCTTATGCTCGAAGTGAGCGACGACGTTCTTCGTCCGCGCGTCATCCCAGACGATGGCACGACAGAGAGGTTTTCCGGTTTTGCGACTCCAGGCGACGGCGGTCTCGCGCTGGTTAGTGACGCCTGGGAAGAAGTGGAAGAAGGAAAGGAAGCGGGGACGCGACGCGACGCGTTAATCAAGGAACTTTACGGTTGCGTCATGGGCGTGGGGGCCACGCGGGCCGGGTACTCACCAATAACTTTGACGCTTTCTCGAGAGAAACCGCACTCTTCAAGATCTTTCACCGCCTCCTCAATACAGGTCTCGCAAATAGCCTGCATCTCCGCCGCATCATGTTCATGCCACCTTCAGAAAATAATTGTGTCAATACTACAGAATGTTCTAGAATTGGGTGAAGGTGGGGAGAATGCGGGGTATGTGGGGAAGAGGTGTGGGGAAAACTCGTACCCAGGCTCGGGATAATATTGGGGGAACTCGAGTTGATGTTGAGCGACGATGTTGGCATATCGGTCGAATATGATGAATCGGGTCGAGCTGTATATAAAAGGTGAGCATCGGAGTGAGAAAGAACGGGAGAAGCGCACGCACGTAGTGCCACAGTCCAAACTACCCACGAACTCTTCTTGCTTCAAGTCAGACATGGGTCAAGCAAAGATAGCAACAACGGCAGCACAGATTAAGATTAGTACGAATATGTGAGAACGAGAAGAGAAGAGGAGGAGGGGGAAGGGGAATTGAGGCGGATTGCCTCTGCCGGAACTCACATTTTGCGTTATAACAGCGGAGGTGGAAGGAGCATCCGGCCCGGCGGTTCTCCGCTGTGCTCTCCAGTCATGCGCGCTCGTCGCAATCGTCCGAGGAAAAAAGCGGTCAGCCTGGCTCTTCGCGCATTGAGTCCACGAATTTGATCCAGATCCCAGTGTCCACCAATCAGAGCGTGGAAGGTGCGATCTTCTGACACTGCGAAGCACTCGAGCTGTGCTAATGTACCGGATGCGTGCGGAGGATGTGAAGAAGTTTGTTTTTGGGATCCAGAGCGACATGAAAGTTGTCGCCTGAGTCTACGTGGAAAGTATTGGGTTGTAGCTCTAGAGTCTGAATGCGGAAAATACGGCGATTTGTCGTGGCACGCCTACCGTAACAGATTGCTCGAGCCGGTGTGATGGTCAGGACGAACAGCCTGAAGCGACGGCATGGCTCTTCCGCTGGTCCACTGCCAGTGGTACGTACGGTCCGGCCGTCGTCGCCAACGACGACGGAGGATATAAACCGAATTGCAGGTGCAAGCCTCACCATTCGACAGGCTCTAGCACACGAACATCGTCTGCAAAAAGTTCAAAGAGCGCACACCATGTATAGGAGGGTAAAAGTCACTGCAGTGTCGGCTCTTGGACCGCTCAGACCGCCGCAGACATCGATGGTTTGCGATAGCAAATGGATACTTGGATAAGAACCAGTTACGACCATCGATGCCGTTTTCAAGGAGCGGAGGTGAAGTCAGAGGGCATAGGCATAATACTCGGCGATGCATAAAAGGCATATCGGATGAGCAACGAAATAAATTGAACCGAATCGGCGGGTTCGAGCGGCACAGTCATCGACGACATCAAACCTTCTCTAACTTTAGCAGTATCACACCGTTAAAGGCAGAGAAAAGAGTACATAAATCACGGTATTTTTCTACATGTGTCATGCAGAAGGTCGTGTGGCCCTTGTGGCCCATCATCAGCAATAGCGCTTTACGTTCGACAAGTGGTTCTGACTATTGAGCTAGACGGCCCAGAACAGAGAGATTCAACGACATTTAACTAAGGGCCAACAAAGATGAGCAAGCGTCGAACTACAGAACTATACCGGAGGAACAAACAAACAAAACCGTTCTCCGCGGTGGCTGTTCTCATCCTCTGTCTCAGTCCACCCAAGTGGCATCTGCCATTCGCGTTCCTCCAGACTATCAGGACAAACAAGACAGTACGCGATCTGAACGTCGCATCGCTTTTCGTGCTTGAGTTCCTGGTCTAGGCGGTCCCCAAGTCTACGGACCTGGCACTTGAGTCTGCGAATGTGCTCGTAGCCCCTCGGTGATTCCCCCTGGATGGTAGTGGTGGAATTCGTGATCCGGAAAACTGATATGGTGAAGGTGTTTGTGGTACTGTCATGGGTAATGGTAAACGAGTCGAAGACGGGGTTATCCACTACAGTCGGGATGTAGTATACGTTGGGTTGAAGCGTCACTTCCTCGAGGTCCCCTCTGGCTACATCGACGTGTTTGGCCGTCATTCCGTCGCAGAGGGGTGAAATGAACGAATGAGAGAGAGGCGATGAAGACGACGCTTTGAAGCAGGGCTGGTTAGGGTCGCCGGAGCTCTGAATCATAAGGACGGGAATCGGCCTGGGGTTCGCTGACGACCAGCCTTGAGTGACCATGCCATGGAATATCATCTTGTAGAGCCTTCCAGCTAAAGTGGAACCCATTGCGATACCGGAGATGTGGTATACATGTCCTGAAGGTGAACCATCTGCGCCTTCTGCATCGCCACCATCACCTGGTCTGCGATTCAGTTGGACTTGAAGTCGAGCGTCCACCGATCATGCTTGGGGTCCTTCGTACGTTCAGGTTTCATGACGATGAGCTTGTGCGAGGTTTTGGAGGGGTCTATACCATCCTCGCTGAAGCGGCGGGCAAGGTCTTTGATATGATCGTACACGAAAATATTCACCGGGTTGTTGATGGACAGAGGGTTGAAAACGGCTTCGTGGACGTCACGGGGACCGTAGCCGACCTCTTCGATCACTACGCGCAACAAGATCTTGAGCGCATCGTCTACCTCGGCCTGAGGAGGGCCCTCTACATGGGCTATTGTCATATCTTGATCTGCCGCCGCCTCTTTCTCTCTCTCGCCCGCAATAAGCTCGAGTGCGCCAAGGATCATAGGAGACGTGCACTGGACGGGAGGAGGTGCAGGCTGGACTAATACAGAAGATGTCGGGGATGAATTAGAGGCATGAATGGCGTTCTCTAGACCACATCGGAACTGTTCATACTCGGGCTGGAGACGTAAACTGCAACAAAGGAAAGGGACGGTCGACGACAAGGGAAATCGAAAGTTTGTAAAGACGTACCCTGCCCACAGCTCACCTTCCGTCCACACACCAATCCCCCACCGGGCGGCCATAAATTGTTTGCACCATGTCTTATACCGGGCGGGGTTTAGCGGCGAGGAGAGCTGGATCAGCCAGATTGGATACCCGGTGTCGATGCGTGGTCCCTTGTCCTCGGCGTCAGCGTTGATCAAAGTCCATATAAAGCGCGGGTGCGTTTTGCTCTGAGGAAGGTAACGGAAACACTGCTGTATGGGCCCGCGGTACACTTAATTGTGGTAGAAGAGGTACGCCTCGGATCGGCTCTCCAAGAGATATAGCACGACCTGTCGCTCTGAGAGGAGTCGTGCGAGCATGAATTTTTCGAACATGCTTTTTCCTGAATGAATGGTTATGTCAGTGGTGGATAGTCTAGCAGGGTAGAATGCGGAGCTCTGAGCTATCGAAGCGTACCGACGCCGGGCTGCCCTGTGATCAGCACTCCTCTACCATAGCTCGAACCAGTCGCGCGATCCAAGATCTGATAGTACATATTGATGTATTCCTCGGTAACAAGTATCTCGCCCCCTCCAAAATCCGTATAAAAGGCTTCGTACAAACAAATTACTGGCTCATTTCCATGAGTACTTTCCAGCCCAAGGTCTAATGTATAGGGCGGCTTCTGGTCGAACTCGAAGGTGCGGCCATACCAGTGTGCGCAGAATTCCTGGAATCCGTCGTTCAGAGGGTCCCACTTGTTATGACTGTTCTGCAGCCAGGACCAATGGGGATCTACACGGTGTGATCAGTGTATACTGTAGTGTCAGTATGTGGACACCGTTATGCTCACCTTCGTCGCCACTGATGTGCACGTTGTGAGGATGCTTTTGGACTGCAGGAGAGCTCTTATAGCGTCATAATTTACATCCGTCATGGCATAGTGAAGGCGACTGCTTCGACTGACGAAGATATGGATAGATAGATGGAAGGAGAGAAGTTGATCTATGGGTAGTAGCAATCTCCGCCACAGGGGATTTCCGTCAGGAGAGGGGAAGCGAGACGATGTCCCGTTTGACGAAGTGTGCGGAGTTTGAATTCTTCCCAATGTGGCGGAGTCCCGGAAGGAAGGCTCTTGACTGCGACCACAACAATCAGGCTCAACTTCTACTTTGCCTATCCCAGCGAGCTCTCTCCCAACAGATTACTGGACAGTCAGCTCGTCTGACAATACTTCCAACTGAGTTTTCAGACGGTGTTTCGATATTGCTCTATATGAAGTCACTCGTCGAACGAACTTCTTTCTTGGACATGACATGACGCTAGCTAGTGGATGCATCGTATTCGCTTGGTATTCGCTTCCAATTAACGGATACATCGATACTGCAACGTGTCTCGTATATGATCCACCAGAAGATGTCTAACGGTCTAATATCCGTCGACCTGTACGTCCAATGAAGGGAAGGTGTCCAGAACTTTACTTTATGGCAGACGTAAAGTTGTCTTCCTTACATCCTCGGGCGACATCATTCGCTAGTACGGAAGGTGCCTTTCGTCTACTTAAGAACTGGTCACCTTGGCATTGAGGATACTCCCCGTAGGTCTTGCTCCTACGCGTCCTGGGTCCCCTTCACTGCTTTGCGCACCCTGTCCACACTCTTTCATCGGTTCGATACTCAATATGACGACATTCACCGCAATGCTGGCCATGATGCTTCTTGCATCTATGACCTTTGCATCCCCTATCGCACTAGAGAAGGTGAGTCGCCACAATCATCGTGATCGCACCCAAAGCCATGTCAATATCCGTCATCGAGACATTCGTATCCAACTGCTGCCCATTTCGAACGTAGAGCAACAATTCGACCCCTTGCAAACCTTCCGACCCGAACTACTGTGTCGGCACAAACTCGACCGGTGATCCCAATCAGCAACAATACGTCTGCGGGGACTACCGTCTCGGTCCCCTCCACCTCCCCACCAAACTCCCCGTCTCCTCCCTCGTCCACTCCTACGCTCCCTTCTCCGGCCTTTGTCCCGGCGCCTTCCTCGCCCAATGGACCTTCCCCTCCAACGGCTCCTACCGCTATCCTCCCGTAGACGGCTTCCAAGTCACCACGGATAACGAACCGATCGAAGGACGCGTCAAGCTCACGGAGGGGACGAAGGTGGATCGTTTCGGGAGCGAATACGGCACATTTTTGAGTCCGAAGGGCGCGCCGTATGTGGAGAGAGCATTGCCGCCGCAGAATTTGGATACGTCGAGCAGTGCGCCGGAGTATCCGAATGGGTACCATGTGTATGAAGTGGTGAAGGCCTTTGACGTAGTGCAGGGACCCATCGCGCCATGGTTTGGACAGCCGGGTGGAGGATCACAGTACGTGCCTTTTCGCATTTTGCTGAAGTGCAGTGCTTGAATTTTTGGTTGATGTTTCGGGGCTAGGTACGAATTGATCAACGCCACTGTCGCGTCGCTCTTGAACGATGCCGCTCCGGGTCCTTTCTTGCGGCGTATGAACGTGAGCGAGTACTAGTAGCATTACGTCCTGTTCGTCGGCAGCGAAGTGTCTTGAGGTGTCGACCAAGCTTCGCTGATTCTTAATTATTAATTTGGCGGTATCATTACGGGCGTGTGCAATGCAAACGCTGGACATTGAACGTTCGCTGTACCGGGTGAGGAGGTATTCCCTTGACCTGGGCGGCCGAAAGGTAGTCGCCTTTCGAATCAACTTTGAATGCAGACAGGTGAACAATAAGAAAGATAAAAAGTCATAGACCAACGCTCAAATCCCGAACGCTCTGATGTTATTTTGGTTGTGATACAATGTCAAGTATGCTACAGGATTTTACGCCAGGCGAGAGTCAACGACAACAAAAAAAGACCGTCATCGACTATCGTACAAACAGAAATATTCCTCCGCTATTCTGTACAACATAAAGACTACGCAGCGCCCGAACGAAGAGTAAATCCGAACCCCAGCCCGTATATCACTGGGCTGCAAACACCTACTGTCAAACACTGCACCCTTCAAACACTCCGCTCACAAAATCGGGATCCTCGTCGTCCCCTCTGCCGCCTTAGGGATCCTCAGCGTAAGGACACCATGGTCCAAGTTCGCCGAGACGTTCTTCGCGTCGACCGGGCGCGGGAGCCAGACCGTACGCGAGAACGAGGAACTGCTGGTGCCGACGAAGTCATTGCGAGTAGAGACTTGTTGGTCGGCATTAGTGGGTTTGTTGGCGACGGTGTTAGACTCTGTGCCTGTTCATAGGACATTAAGTCAGCGATCAACTGCCATATTGATGACTTGGAAGTGGGTAATCAAGAAACTTACCTTGAGCACGATCCTTCGGAGTCGCCTCGGCAGGAGTCGAAGGCGTGTTGGTGCTGTTCTGCCCACTGGCAGGCTCAGCTCCCCTCCCAAACTTCCTAAACGACTTCCCCTCAATCGTCAAGCTCCGCCCCGCATCCCCAATCCTAACATCCACATCCTCTTTCCTCACACCCGGCAGTTCCGCCTCGACGACATAATGGTCCCCTTCCTCGTTGATCTCGACGGCGGGACTGCGCAGACGACGGGTCGCGTTGAAGAATGGGTCGTCGAAGAAGTTGGTGGTGGGGTTGCGGCGAGAGACGGTGCCGGAGGGGGATTGTTGGGTGTAGGGCTCGTCGAGGAGTTGGAAGAAGGGGCGGAAGAAGGTGTCGTTGAAAGACATGGTGGTGGTGGTAGTGGTAGTGGTAGTGGTAGTGGTAGTTTGGTGGTAGTTGAGAGTTGGTGATGAGTAGATGTGTAGAGAGTCGAGTGTTATTCTGTTGATGACTCTCAGCCCAACCATCCCCCTCTTTTATACCCCCATGACCCACAGACTCGCACCTAACTTCACTTTAGAAGAACACTCACGAAAGTTCGCCGTTCGAGAATGAGTAAGCTATCAATGCGATGACTTCACTTCATCATCATGCCTCGAGAGCCGAGAACGGAAGAGAAGGAACGAGCTGTTTCGGGGAAGGTTCGAGAATTTCAAATTCTGGAATGTTCGAGGATTTCCCCACGCCGCCACACCCCCTCACTTGAACCGTTGAACGCTGTTCTCGAGAGTTCTCGAGGGGTTGAGAGTATTAGCGTGGACTTTGAACAGTCGAGAGTTTGTCATACGATGCTTAGAGTGATGTGTCAGTCGGAGCAACCACATAAGATGCTTGGAACTCATCGACACCAGCTCGAAGCGGGTGTGGCGCTGGCCCGGGCATCTAACTCACCAAGACGCAAAAGCGACTACGTACCACGTCGAACACGGCGCACGGGCCAGGAGGGGCCAGGTGACCTAAACATAGACAAAGACGCAGCGTCAGGATGTACGGCGCTTCGTATTCGTATCCGTCTTCGCTGTCGAGCCAAGGTCGCAATGAGTGCAGACGGCCCAGTCATGTCATGAAGCATTGAAGAAAACCAAGAATGAGAATAAGACTAAGACGTTTGTTCTCGAGTATCCTATGTTAGGCCTGAGTGATCAATATTTTGCTTTCGGGTGCGATGTGGCTGTGTCCGTGAGCCTGAGCGTTTGGAGGGTGTGAAACTAGTTCGCCGGAAATGAGAGTATTTGAATCGATCGAGAGATTGTATAGAGACGAGCTCGGGCGTATCGCAAGAGGGTGGTGGGACAGTCGAGTAACTTAAAAGGTTGTGGTGGTGATCGTCAGAGGTTAGGCTGTGTGCATATGTGGCCCGTCGAGAAGAACTCCGTCCGCGTGGGAAATACGATCGCCACCCACCGGCTCGCATCCTGATTCCTCGCACCTCCAGGTCTTTCAAGTCGAACACCAACACCAACACATACATAATACACCTCAAAAACCCCTTTCTCCATCACGACAAAATACGAGCATCCTTTGTTTTGTCACAATGGATCAGGTAAAACCTCATAGCTATCTCATCCGTCACACCTCGATTTCTGAATGTCATGCTTACCCCCCACCTCTCTCCCCTCCTCTTCACCTCTCCTCCTGCTCTCGTCCCCCAACCGACATCCTACACAACCCCTCACCACAACCCCAGGAATCCTTCCGCAAACTCCTACAAACTCCCCGACCAGGCGCGGATACTAGCACACCCAAAACATCCTCGCGGGGATCATTACTGCCTAAACCTGGGGCTGGGTCCAAAACGTGCGTTTCTCTTCATCCTGCAGCTCCGACTCCTTATGCTCAACTTCAACAATCTGGTGCTTATGTTGATAATGGACTATGCTTGTGGGATGGCATTGGCTAGTGCGCCGAAGAGCTCAAAGGATAAAGAAGGAGGACCAGCGTTCAAACCTCGTAAAGTCAAGAAGAGCGCGGAGAAGTACAGGAATCGGGCGGAGGAGAGACGGGTTGGGGCTGATCATGATTATTCTCAGGTCTGTCCGTTGCTCTACGTTGCATTACATTACACTTCACGTCTTAGCCGCCGATACAAGATGATCTTTAGGAAAGCTGACACTTTCTTAACAGATCGAAGCGGTCCTCGAAGATTTCGAACGTCGGAATGCAGACGAAGATCAAGCTAAGGTCCGTTTCATCGCCTCGCCTCCGCTCCCTGTCCTATCTTCTATATCTATTCCACGAAATTCATATCATATCAACTCGTAGGTAGAAGAACAACGCCGCTTCCTAGGCGGCGACTCGGACCACTCCATCCTCGTCAAAGGCCTCGACTACGCCCTACTCGAACAAAACAAAGCGCGTCTGGCGACTGTGAATTCGAAAGTAGACGATGAATCGCTCGAGGCTGCGTTTCTCGAAACATCCACATCCACCACCACCAACACGACAACGACAGGTCAAGGTCAAGGTGGGGAGGGAGGAAAGAAGAGGTCGAGGGCGGATTTGATCAGGGAGTTGAAGGAGAAGAGGGGGGGCGATGGGGAGGGGAGTGGGAGCGGGAGTGGGAGTGGTGGGGAGGGGAAACTTGGGAGTGGGAATGGGAATGGGAAGGGAAAGGTGAAAGGGAAGGGGAAGGTGGTTGAGGATAAGCCGATTCCGGAGGGGAAGTTCAAGCCGATTGGGTTCAAGCCTATTGGAAAGACCGCCGGAGAAGAAAAGGGAAGGAAGAAGAAGAAGGTCAGGGTGGACGATGGGGGAGATGCGGAGAGGAAGAGGAAGAAACGGAAAGTTGTGGATGAGGAAAGGGGCGAGGAGAAGGGGAGTGCGACTGTGTCGACGAAGGAATCATCTCCCGAGCAGCCACGGGGCAAGACGCTACAAGAACCGGAACCAGAGCCTGCGGACGAAGACTTTGATATCTTTGCGGATGCTGGGGAGTACCAGGGATTGGAGCTGGAAGACGACGAGGGAGAGGATGAGGAAGAGAAAGCTGACGAGGAGAAGCTCGGTGAAGATACATCTACGACTCCAGGACCAGCACGCCGAAGAGGGTGGTTCGAAGACGATGAGCCAGAACCAGAACCAGAAGCCGGACCATCAAAACCGGCGGAGCCACAAGCGACGAAGTCACGGTCAAAGTCGCCTACGAATCAGCCAGAGATGGAAGAAGAGGACGCGGAAGAGGGAGAGTTGATGCGACTTGCACCACTCGAGTCGTCTGCATTGCCATCTATCAAGGATTTCCTGGCAGCTGATGAAGCGGCCGAGAAAGACGAGAAGAGGCGGGCGAGGAAAGACAAGAAGAAAAAGGGGAAGGGGCCGGGTGGCGAGGGTGGCGACAAGATCGAGCGCGACTACCAGAGGTGAGCGCCACAGTAGTGTCTGTTCATCTCCATGTCTCTGACGACGTTGCTTGCAGGTTGAAGAACTACGAGGCAAAGAAGGGTGCCAGTGGGGATAGCTAGGGACATGTCGTAGTGTAGCATGAATATATATTGTGTGTTTTGCGTGGATGCTGAGATTGTGGGTAGCGCCGTGCGTGGCCTTGGCTGATTATAGCGTCGACATCGGCGGCTGTTGATGTTCGCCCACGTCCACATCACCCAGCCTCATCCTTGCCCGCCTTCGTCAACACGGCCCACGCTGTCTGCGAAGAGGATCCGTCGTGTCAACCGTCCGCGTCATCGTCCTCGATACCCAGCTCATACAGAGTCCTCTGGCAGACGCTTCTCCCGCCCGACCGACGGCGACGGATCCTCCTGTCCCCCTCCCCCCTCCCGCTTTCATCTAGCCCTCCGTAGCGACCATTTCTTTCCTTAACCATAATGTCTACCGTCTCCTCTTCCGCTTCCTCTTCTCGTTTATCTTCTACTTTACACACCCCCGAGTCCCACCATAGTCTTCTCGTCAATGACGACTCAATGCATGCCCCGCCTTCTCCAGCACCTTCGTCCTCCTTCAAATCTTCATCATCAGGATCGGATTTCAACCCCACAAAGGATGACGAAGGTGCGCAACGCTCTCTCCTATGCGCTACATTCGACCTAAGCTCGGCGGTATCACAACAGAAAACATAACCGTCACAGCCAAGCGGCTGCCCCCCATACCCCCCTCAGACTCGCGACAGAGCTTCGAGTAAGTACGCCCCCGCATCTCATCATACTCCTAAGTCCACGTCATCTCACCCCGCCCCCGTCGACAGCGACCTCCAACTGCTCGCCATCTCGACGAACATCACAGAACTCTCCTACAGCATCTCCGACATCCAGACCCGTATCTTCGAAATCCAAGAACTCCGACACAAATCGCAGTCCTCGAATGATCTCTCCGCCTCCACCAGCGTCATCGACCAGTCCCTCATGGCTCTCGACGAACGTCTCGAGTCCGTCGCTAATGGCGTCAAAGCCGTCACCGCCTCCATCCAACCTCTTCTCAACTCTCCGTCTCCGCCAACGACGACGAACGGGTCCACAGAGCGTGATTCGAGCGCCGATGACGAGAAGGCGTTACTCGTGCGGAAGCATGCGGCGTTTATCGCGGATTGGGAGAGCGTGCAGGAGGAGAGCGATGTGTTGAGAGAGGAGCTTAAGGAGGATAAGTGGTTGACGGTGTTCAGGACGGTCACGGAACAGGCGGATGGGATGATGACCAGTCTCGAGAAAGCGGTCAATCGATGTCAGGTCAGTCTTTCTCGTATTCGTTATGCGTGAATGTTGAGTTCCGATCGGTCACATAAAAGTGCGAGGATCAACCGCCTGTGTGCTTCAGTCGTGTCTGTTGCTTGTTGTTGCTATCGTTTCTTACGTGGGGCACGTGGCAATGTCACTACTACTTGTTGCCCTCGCGAAAGTGTCCTCGGTGAGGTCTGTCATTCAATGACAGATCAATGACAACCCATAAATAGCGCTTTTCTGACAGCGGCAACAGCATTCTTTGCGGTCAGGCTCTTGCTATTTTTGACTGCTTTCCTATATAGGACATGTTCACCTCGACGCGTCGTGTTGTGGCCATATAGTTATCGAGTCTTTTTGGAGTGGCCAAGTCGCTCACTATCACTATCCTTGCACGTAGTTTGGCTTTGTCCGATAGACTACAGCACGTCGCTGAGAGACCAAGCATAACTTATATAGCTTCGTCATTTGTAGCATTCTACTCTGAGGAATTCAGTATTCTTGTCTTGTCCGCTACTCGGGCGATGTTCATCGATGGATGGTCGCTCATCTACCTCGTTTTCATCAGGAATTCGTATTCCAATTCCAACGACATGGCGGAGATGAAGGCGTATCGTCATCCCAATCGCAGCCAATGGTGGGCACAACACGTTCCGAGGGCTCGCCAATGAACATCGACGTCTTCAACCAGCTTTCCGACTCGTTCGAAGCCAAGAAGAAGTGCGTGTTCACCCTATCCGGATCATTTTGTATCTCGCTCATTGACAGCTTTATAGACACTACATGCCTGCTACCACAAAGGTACTCTCCATCATCGACAAGGGCGTTCAAGACCGCGTGACGAAGAACGGCGAATGTCTCCGTCGGCATGCAGAGTCCACCCAACGCTGGAAAGTCCTTCGGGATCGAATATCGAGAACAGACGCAGAGATGGAATCCGTCCGTCAGCTCCTCACGACGGAAATCACACCCAGCGAAAGCGGGTCGACGACTTCGGGACCCACGACCGCGACCACTGCGACGTCCAAGACGAAGAACGGCCTGCTCACCCCTCCGAACGGCTCGTCTTCGGTCAAGAAACGCATGAGCACCGCGAACGCCCTTTCAAGGTCGATGTCCCCCTTCCGCACCTTCGCGAAGAAGTTCTCGAGCAACAACAACAACAACACCACCTCCAACACACCGAAATCCATCGCCGTCACACCCGAAGTTCAGCCAAGGAGACGAGAACCGTCGTCGGAACCGAACGTCCGCCATCGTCAGTCGATATTCGCGTTCCGGACGAGTCAGCCCACGACGCCCATCACGCCCGAACGACCGGGGCACAAACACGCACAGTCTCTGACCCCCGAAGCGTCCCCGTCGAGCAGCCACAGAACAACGGACGCGAATCTGACGGTGAAGGGTCGGCCGAGCACGTCGTCGACCACACCGTCAAAGCAGCCGTGGAACAGCTCGACGAAGGTGCAGTTGCCGGATCCGGATCGTCTCGCGAGACGGAGGACGTCGTCTACGAATTTGGCGTCGAGGTTCCAGGGCGGGGACGTCCCGCCTGTGCCGACGAATAGCGCGAGTTATCAGCGTAGTGTTTCGAGGAGCTCGATGGGGTCGTCGAGGCCTTGGTCGCCTGTGACGTCCTCGGTGTCTACGGCACCTTCGTCCACGCCTTTCCAGAGACCTCCGTCAAGGACACAGCAGACGCCTAGCAGTAGTCGAGTGTATCAGAGACCACCATCGAGATCGAATACACCGAGTGCAGCCGCGACCGTCGCCGCACGGTCAACACGCCCAAGAACGCCGTCCAATATCCCTAGTCCTGCAGGTCATCATCGAACGATGACAGGGACCGCGCTATCCGACGCAAGCTGGGACGATGACGTCGAGAATCAAACATCACTCATGCAACGCGCGTTCTCACCCGCCCTCTCCGCGTCCTCGTCCGCACGTTCGGGCGCACCACCACCACGCTCCCCACCCCGCTCCCAAACCCCAGGCGGGACAAGATTACCAGGCCCACGACCCCCAAGCCGCTCGATGATCCCCGCGCCCGTATTCCACTTCTCCTCGCCCTCACGCCCGGGGTCCGCCATGTCGGAATACATGGATCATAGTCCGGGCCATTCGAATTCGTCAGCGTTCAGGAATAGCGCGATGAGGGCGCAGACGCCTGAGAATCTCCTGAGGTCGAGGGCGGCGCAGGTGCCGTTCGTGACGGGGTTGCCGACGACGCCGGGGGGCAGTCCGGCGTATAATACGAGGACGATAAGGCCTGGACATGGTGTAGGTGCGGGAGGCATGATTTCGAATGCGCCGTCGTCGTTTCGGAATACGGAGTCTTCTTCGTCTCGCGCGCCGTCGCGGTCGGGATCGCGTGCGGGTGCGTACACGCCGATGCAGGATAAGGATATGGCGCCGGTGCATATATATACGCCGGGGAGCATGAAGGATCCGTTGGATACGGAGGTGGCGTCGATTGTGAATTCGGTGGCGCATGGGTTGTTGGTGGAGAGGGTGGATCCGCCGTTGAGGAAGGCGCCGAAGGAGGGAGAGGAGATTATGGCGCAGTATGCGTTTTCGAATAATTTGGGGAGGAAGGTCGTTACGGCGAGGTTGACGACGCTTAGTAGGGTGCAGGGGAAGGGGATGGGGCCGGTGACGAATAAGAAGGTTATGGTTAGGGTGGGGGGAGGGTGGCAGGATTTGCAGTTGTATATGCTGAACCGACAGGCGGGCATGTAAGCTTCAGGCTGCGGAGTTCTGAGATCATCTGGCCAGGAAGCATTCGAGTCGCCGAATCCACCCCATGCACCATTTGTCCCTCCATTCCCCCAGTACCGCACCGCAAACTCACCTCTCTCTCTCCTTCCCTCCCTCCCTCCTCGTTCGTCTACCGTCATCTCCTCCTCGCCCTCGTCCTCGTCTGATCACCATGTTCGCTCATCATCTCATCTCGGAACAAAGAATCCCGGTCGTCTGTTTTGAATATGCATTTTCCTCTTCCTCTTCCGTTTCCGTGTTCAGATGTATGCTTTCTTTCTTTCTTTTTTTTCAGTTGTTGGATTTGGAGTCTAGCTCGTATCTTTCTTTTCTTTAGTTTCTCTGTGTTTTGAGATGTTCTGGAAGGAACTTTCGGGGTCTGGTCTGACACACTCTTTCGCTCGCTCTATGTTCGTCTGCATCCTCCCTCTACATTCGTCTGCATTCCCTCTTTACATGTTCGTCTGCGCCCCACCCCACCCCTCCTCCTCCTCGCATCCCCCTTCCCC